CCGCATCTAATCTCTGTGCCACCTTATTACATCCAAATCTAATCCCTGTGTCACTTTAATACATCCATATCTAATCCTTGTCTCACCTTTATACATCCACGTGTAATATCTATGTCACCTCTATACATCAACATCTAATCTCTGTGTCACCTTATCATATCCACATCTAATCCTGTGTCACCTTAATACATCCACATCTAATCCCTGTGTCACTAAATACATACATGCGTAATACCTGTGTCACCTCTATACATCCACATCTAATCCCTATGTCACCTTATCACATCCAATCTAATCTCTATGTCACCTTAATACATCCACATCTAATTCCTGTGTCACCTTGATACATCCACATCTAATCCAGTGTCACCTAAATACATCCAATCTAATCCCTATGTCACCTTATTACATCCACATCTAATTCCTGTGTCACCTTGATACATCCACATGTAATCTCTGTGCCACCTTATTACATCCACATCTAATTCCTATGTCACCTTAATACATCAACATCTAATCTTTGTGTCACCTTAATAAACCCACGTGTCACCTTTATACATCCACATTTAATCCCGGTGTCACCTTATCACATCCACATCTTATTCCTGTGTCATCTTATTACATCCACATCTAATTCCTGTGTCACCTTCATACATCCACATCTAGTCCCTGTGTCAATTAATATATCCACATGTAATACCCGTGTCACCTTATCACATCCACATTTAGAATCTCTTTGTCACCTTATTACAGCAATGCCTAATCCCTGTGTCACCTTAATACATCAATGGATCACCTTATTACAGCCACATCTTATCCCTGTGTAACCTTAATACAGCCATATCTAATAACTGTGTAACCTTATTACAGCCAGGTCTAATCCCCGTGTCACATTAATACATCCATATTTAATCCCTGCATCGCATTTATTCAATCACGTCTAATACCTCTTTCACCTCAATACAGCCAAGTCTAATCCCTGTGTCACCTCAATACATCCATATCCAACCCCTGCGTCACATGAATATTCTTGTTTCATCAACTTATTTGTCAATAATTAACCTCATATTAGAAATTGTGCATACGTAGAGCATGATCTTGTGTATCAAATCAACTGAGAGATATATACCCCGTATGCATGTGATGCAGGTATATTCCTGCATAAGTAAGGGAAGTTGACGATTGAAAAGTTAAAGTCGTCACGTTTATCATAAAGCTTGGTTGTTAGATTACCATTAACGTCTTTTTCAAGTAAAATATCCAAATATGAAAGTGATGTGTCAGAGTCTGTGATATCTTTTATCTCAAGCTCACCGGGATATATCGTATCGACATAAGAATGGAAATAACCATTGAATGGAAATAACCATTGACATAAGAATGGAAATAACCATTGTTAACTGATAATACGTCGTCGATATATCTAAATGTCGAGTTGAAGGCTACAGCAAGTGTTTTCTTCTTTTCATGTATAAGATTTGGACAAATTCTGCTTCATATGAATACAAAAAAGGTCTGTTAATAACGGGACGCAATTGGTATCCATGGGAATTCCATGGGAAGACCTGGTCTCCAAAAACCTCATAGATATTGTCAATCAGAAACTCAAACATCTTTTTAATGTCAACTTCAGAGTACTTGTGTGTTATTTATTCAATCATGTTTAATACCTCTTCCACCTCAATACTGCCACGTCTTATCCCTGTCACTTAAGTTTCTTGAATTCCTACCATAAATGTACTCCTGTAGGAGTTGTTGGAGGTCTTATGCTTGGACTTTTTGAGGTTAGATTAACTTTTCATGTCTGTGTTTGTAACTTGGAATGTCTGTGGTTTTCATTATTTGAAATATGAATGTTGGTTTTCCTAAGGAACCTCTTTACACCAATGATTATGAAATTCGTTTTTTGGACTTAATTTATTAGCAAGGAAAGATCAAGGTCATTATATTTTTCTTCCACATTAAGGATATTTTTTGCCATTTATATAGTATCGTTTTCTGTTTTGATATATTTTTATACACAAAAGATAATAACACATAAGATCTAACATATTAAGATAAAAAATGTAACTACAATAGAAAACATGTATTGGCTAATTTGAATTTCCCATAATCTTTTTAATTTTTTGAGGAAAAAAATATATTTTTCTATACATCCTGTATTGATTTTTTTCTTATATTTTAGGTCACCTGAATCACTCAAGTGACCTATTGCTATCTGTGTTTGTCCGTCGTCGTGCATCGTCCGTCAGTCGTAAACATTTGGACATTTTCAGCTTCTTCTCTTGAACCAGTGAACCAATTTCAGCACATAGCATCAATGGTGAAAGGGGTACAAAATATGTGAATTTCATGGTCCCCCCCCCCCCCCAGTCAAACTGTTAGCATTATTTTGATAAACATTGATACCTTTACCAAAATTGTGAAATCGGCCGCAGGGTCAGGAATTCTGGAGTTAAGGTGGGGCTCTAATGGTCATATAGTAAAAATGCATAAATTCTTTAAAAATCTTCTTCTCTTCCCCTGTATATAAATCAGATAAACTAGGTATAATTATGATTATAATTATCAAGCAGGGTTCTCCATCATTTTAAATTTAACTGTGGCGCAAGACTTACGCGAAGTGCGAATATTCGCGGTCATTTCGCGACCAAATTCACGAAGGAACCACGAAGTAAATTGAAAAACACACAACCCCAATGAATGAATAGTTTAATACACAAATGACATTTATTATTTGGCAAATTGAATATTAAATTTAATAATAAAAGCAATTAATCATTATTCAATTTAATAATAAAAGCAATTAATCGATATCGCTCAAACATAGTGTAAAACAAAATTAGGATGTTTCTAACATAGATGCATACTGTGAAAAAGCCCCCCCCCCCCCCTTCCCAACACGTACTTACTTAAAAATAAACAAATATTAACTAATAGAACCTGAAAATAAACGTGCCGGTATCAACAAGTTTTAAGCATTGAACCTTATTTAAAACATTATTTGTTTTGTTTTTACAAATGATAAATTATACAGTGTTCATTAAAGGACAGGTGAAATTCTGGTAAGTCACACAATCACGCTAACATCTATACGAGTATATAATTGTAGTTATCGGTCTGAAGACTGAAATATCTTAAAACTTGTGAATTAAAAAAAAATACTGAAGCAGTTTAGAGGCATAAAATAATATTTTGGTGGATCTATCATTAATTTTTCAACATTACAAAAATACATGATTACGATACAAATACGATGTTTGCAAATGCAATTTTAGGGACGTGGTTATCTGTAGAACTATTAAAACAGCATGAATTAATTAATATTAAAATATTAAAATTTTCCTTTGCAATTATCGTGTAGTGTGGAAATTGGCTTGTCACGTTTTACTCAATTGTCCAGCGAGGTGTAGGAGATAATTGCTTTTGGAAGCCAAACAATGGGCCCTAAGTAGAGTAAATTAACGGTTTAGCATTAAAAACTGGGGAAACGGTACATAATTTTGAGGTTCCTTTGGTCTATAAATTTATCTTTCTGACGACTACGATCTTACTGTGGCGCTTACATTTTAACTGTGGCGGAACTATGGCGCTGATTTTTTAACTGAGGTGTTAAAGAATTTAACTGTGGCGGGGCCGCTACGTTAAACGGCCCATGGAGGACCCTGATCAAGGGTGTCTCTTCCAAAATAGTGAATTTTTTGGCCCTAGGGGCTCTGGTATCAGAATGGAACTATATTGAATATATAGTAAAAATGGGTTATTTCTTTGAAAATCTTCTCAGCTCCTGGGTATTTAGGAGGCAAACAGAGTAGATAAAATTCTATTAAACAGGGTTGTTTTTACCAGATTTAAAAATTCTTACCCTTTTGTCACTTTATTAATTTCTACTGAAGGAAGTTATTCCCCTTAGTTATTCACCTATGATAGTTAATCACTGTAAATAATGTAACTGAAAAGGTCAATTGATTAACAGAATTATACAAGATTTTTTCATAATATTTAATACTAAACGTATTTTGGTAGATTTTAATGGTTAGAAAGACTTTTGAATAATAGATAAATGGAAATGGGACAAAAATACTGTATCTTTGTACATTAATCTTCAACTAAGAGAGGCCAATGTGAAGGTGAATGAAATGTGTTACCTAATAATGCTCTAGAACTATTGTTTTGTTTAGTCCGCATGAGGATAGGGACACATGGGGAAAGTACAAGCAAATAAATAGATCAACTTTAAGATTTGTTAATGAGCACTAAATGAATATTTTGCTGATCCCTGATCATCCTATTTCTCTTGCTGTTGGGCAATAGAGCTTCATTTATCAGCTCATTTTGTTTTAATCTCTGGGAATTTTCTTATCACCAATTAATGATTTATCATATGAATTATCAATAATATATATATATATATATATATATATATATATATATATATATATATATATATATATATATATATATATATATATATATAAATTACATTATACTCAGGTGACCGTTTAATCCCTTGGGTCTCTTGTTTTCATATGAACAAAATTTGATATGATATGAAGAAATCATTTAGAGATACGAAATGAAACAGAAACACAAAGTAACGACCGTTAAATAAGATAGAAAAAAATACTGAAATAACTTTGACTGTTTAAATATGTTAACTAAATTCATCATTCTGTAATAAATTTTAAGAGCAAAATGTGTGATATTTTCCTTTGCCGCCATTCCGCCAAAAATTAAAGAAGTTTTTTTAAATCAGTTAAACATTTGATTTTATCATTTCTTTGTCACAATGTATAATTGTACGAGGGAAAGAAAAATATGATCTTTTTAATCCCTAACAACTCAAACCTGACAAGAATTCCTTCTTAAGACCCACATCAATTGACTTATTTATATACCAATCATTTATCAAGAAATGAATTCAGGTGGGCCTTAAAGGGTATGGGACAATACTTTTGGCAGTACATCATAGCATTTTCTTCTTCCTTCAGAAAGCAACTATGGATCAAAGTCAAGGAACCGGGCAGCATTATACTGAGTGTGCAACTTGCACGAATTACTCCAAATTCTACTGGAACACCTGTCACCAGAGAATATGTGAGCAGTGCAGAGAGGACCATCTCAATAAAAAGGAAAATATAAATCATGAAGTAGTTCTTTACCAGGATAGAGCAAAGGAGTTACCGAAACAAAACTGCAAGGTCCATCCTACAAAAATGATAGACCTAGGCTGTATTGATTGCAAATGTTTTCTCTGTCCTAAATGCTTTGCCTTATATCATAATGGTCACAGAATGTTAGATTTAGAAATTGCCTACAATGAAAGTTTTAAGTACTGCCAGAAAGAAATGATCGAGATCCAAGACACAATTTTACCGCAAATCAAACAAAATCTACAGATAAAGAAGGAAAATGTTGTTACTGTTAAAAAAGAGATAACGGAAGTAAGATTGTCCATGAAGAAGAGAGCAGAGGAGATCATAAAAGCTATCGAGACCATATTTAATGACAATAATTCTATGCTAGACAGAATTGAAAAAATCTGTGCTTGGCCACATGGTAACAGAAGAAAAAGAGACAGAAGATTATATTTCTTATCTGGAGGAATTGTCAGAAAATCTAAACAGGGGTTTGTCATCGGAGAAAGCTTCTGAATTGATCAATTTTTACTGGAAAATGAATAGAACCTCCAAAAGACCAATGCCCGAATGGCGACAGCCAATATTTCCAATATTTCAAGAAGGAAAAATCAACACAATTGAACTAGAAAAACAGTTTGGTAAAATCAACATGACATACGAGAAAACCGAAGATGTTATGAAAATTCCTAAAGCAGAAAAAAGGTACACCGAAGATACGGGAAAACGTAACCTTCAGCGATCAAAACTGACAGTGAGGGTCAGGAAAATTGATCTTTCGATTTTTAGGAGTATATTTCACTCGAATGAAATCCGGCTATTTCTGGGCAAGTGACAATATGGAGAACCTCATTCAGTTCGACTCAAAAGGGAAGTTGCGAAAACAAATAACTACCAGCAGAAGTTCATATGGCTATCATACTGTCACTAAGGAGGGAGAAATGCTGTATGCAGAAAGAGAAAAGAAGGCCATTTTCAGACTCTACACCGATATGGCGGCCAAAAAACTAATCGGCACAATGTGCTGGGAACCACACTCAATATACACATCTAAGACAAACGGAGATATAATTGTAGGTATGGCACATGATACGGACTGGGAAGTGAGTAAAGTTACCCGATATAGCGCAGAAGGGATAAAGTTACAAGACATACAGAAGAATGAAAACGACGAAAATCTCTTCAAAAGTACCCGCTACATCACAGAGAATATAAATGGGGATATCTGTACCTCAGATACTAGAGGAGAAAAAGTGGTAGTTGTGACAAAATCAGGAAAGCACCGATTCCCTTATGATGGACACCAAGCCCAAACAGAATTTCAACCATGTGGAATTTGCACAGACGTTTTGGGACACATCCTTGTGTGTAATGGTTTTAATGGTTTCTGTAGTAGATTCTTCAGCATCCATTTAATAAACAAAGATGGTAATTTTCAGGGCTTTATACTCGGACCACAACAATGTCCAGCAGCCCCCAACACGCTCTGTATTGATGATGAACATAACCTCTGGCTCGGGGCTGAGGACAACTCGTCTGTCCTTGTGTATAAGTACCTTGAAAACAAAGACAAGTGATCACTTCCTTCTTTTTCATCACAATCAAGCACATGCATAGAGACAGATAAACCATACAGAACATTGTTTATTTTAAGAATCATGATAATAATATCATATTTTTATTCTGAGTGTCTTCATCAAAATTTACTTCCAAAAATTCCTTTTTTTAGGGCTTTAAATTTTAAAGTGTTGTCATATAAATCAAAGATTCAATTTTTGCCATTCAAAAAGTTAAGAAGGGTTTGTATTACTACAGAAGTTTACTGATATATTTCATGCATTATTTTTTTGTAAGAGTGATAAATTTTAAATAAAAGGCAGAGTTACTGGTACATTGAAATGGTGGTTTCCAATTTATCATCATTTATATGATATATATGATTGCTCTTGTTCTTCAAAAACGTTTCAGAAAGAAGCTTAAGAGTATTTGATTATATCTTCAAAATTAAAGCATGATTTGGTTTATGATATTTGTTTTGTAAATCGAAGGATTTAGTTTTACTGGGGCCTGGACACAGTAGCATTGTTTACATTTTAAATTTCTAAGTTTTTTCAAAAAATAACTTCAGTTTAATTAATTGATCTTACATGAATATTCTTAGAATTCAATGACAGTGACATTCTTCATAACATCAAGTCAAACACCTGTGCTTGTAAACAGAGCACTAGCTCTGTTATTGTTAGTGTTTACGCTTTACCGAGTGTGCTCAATTTGTTTAGTCTGCACACATCACTGAGCACGGACTGGCAATGCTGGTGCGTTGGTTTTGCTTTCTCGCATTTCTGCTCTGAACTTTCTGGATTATAGTTTTCTTATTTTTCATCAATACACAACAAAATTTCTACTTAAGTATTATGGATAAAGTTTACTTTGTGAGAGTGTAAGGAAATGTGTGAATCAAATGCGTCCCGAATTTTGTAGTTTTAATTGTTTCCAGATAAAAGGAGTTTGTTGTTTTGTTTTGAACATATTTTATTGAGTACATCAAAAGGATTGGAAACAAGTTCTTTACAACTTGCAAAGTTCCTCTCCTTATATATAACAATTTGTCATGCAAAGTAAAAGAAAAATAATACAATTAATACAAGTGAAAAAGCAACTAAATAGCACATCAACTAGAGAATCTACATGTTTCGTCAATAACTTTATGAACAGCAGCAAAAATACTGTTATTTATCTGTAAAGGCAAATTAACATCACCACTTAATAATAGATTTATATCAACAGTAACCAATTCAAGAGTGAACAAGCGATTAAAAAGAGTACTTCTTGCATTAGAATAATTTTTGCATGCAAAAAAGAAATGGTACACATCTTCGTTTTTACCACATAAACATAAGGGACTATTTATAATGTTTCGTTTATAAAGATCATAATTTAGTATACAGGAATGTCTTGGCTTAGTATGAATGATATTGGTGTATCGCTTACCAAAAGAGAAGTATGATGGTGGATTTTTAATTTTTGTTATCAAGTTTTTTTTGGAATGTTTTTAGTAAATTCCATTGTTTTGCAGCATCAGGTACGAAAGAGTTTCTAAATAATTCTAATCTACACCTTGGAACAATACAATCTTGTTTATTACGGGTATTGTATAGGGATACATGCTCACGCTTATTGGGGACAATATCATGCAAATACTCAGGTACTCTTCCCGTGTGAATTTTGAACATAGTTGTTATGTTTGCAATATATCGCCTGGTTTCTAAAGTTTCCCAACCAGTTTCAGAATATAGTGCTTCTCTAGACACAAAAATCGGAAGTCCTGTTACAATTCTAGCGGCGGTTAATTGTACTTTTTCAAGCTTTTCAGAATCTTGTTTAGAGCAGCCATCCCAAACAACTGAAGCATATTCAAGCATAGGTCTGATAAACGAAATATACAATTTTGATAAGTTTTTCAACCCATTTTGAACTTCAATTTCTTTAAGAGGCCTAGATTTTTATAAGCACTGTTTACAACACCATCAATATATTCTGACCAACTAAGATTTTGTGACAATAGTAAACCCAAATGGCGATGGACTGGAACACACTTTAGTCTATCGCCTTTAAAAAATAGCTTAGGTATAACAGAAATGTTTTTCTTACAGAAATAAACGACCTTTGTTTTGGATGGATTGAATTTAAGGAGCCACTTGTTTGACCATAGTTCCAAATTATGTAAATCATGATTCAATTTGTATTCCATATCTAATATATTGTATGATGATTGTTGAAGGGAATTATAATCCGCAAACAATCTACACATTGAAATCATATTTTCAGCAACATCATTAATATAAATGAGAAATAATAGTTGTCCTAAAACAGAACCCTGAGGTACACTTGCAAAAATATATTGTTTTGATGATAAGAGATCCTTACACATAACTTTTTGTGACCTTTGACATAGATAACTGGAAAACCATTTGAGAAGATCACTAGATATACCATAAGTTTTTAATTTAAAAATGAGACCTTTGTGCCATACTCTATCAAAAGCCTTTGAAAGATCACAAAAAACCATACAACAGAAGTTTCTATATACGCTTTTAATATATTTCGGTGTGAAATGCTCTAGCAACATATATAGGTCATAGTATTATTTAGAAAATTCTAAAAAATATGAGCTTTAAATCTGTGTCGCAGCCCCTTTAAAAATTTAAGTATAGCGCAGTTTTGACCAATTCAACTGCACTGTAAAGCAAGCAAAAAGTAGTAAAATGAAAGTTCGAAAAGAGTAACAGGTTTGGAAATGGATTTCAAAATGAATACTCCAGTTAGGATTCGCACTGTAGTTTATTTGACAATCAAATAATTGTTCCGAAATGTACAGTTGAACTTCGGTACATGTATCTCGAACACTGATATCGATCTCTAATACCATGGATATGTCAATGTGATTTGAAGTCCCAAATGCTTATTCTTTAAGTATTTTACTCTGGATATCTCGAATATCTCATATTTTACATTTCAGTATTTTCTTCGGTCCCATTGAGTTCGAGATAACAAGGTTTCACACTGTATATTAGAACAATGTTGCGAATACATCATAAAATCAATAATGTACAGTCTAATTATAAACAATATTTCATAGAGGGATATAACTCGTCCATTCATTAAAAATAATCCGACACTCCCTTTGAATTATAATTTGTCAGGTCCTGTTGGTGCATACAATTAAAAATACTTCATGTCATGATATATTACTATTATATATTCTTAGCAATATAATCGCTAGCAATAGAGTCGAACAATTTGTGGGACGAAAGGGTCAGTACTCAACATCATTATTTTTCCCGATGATGTCTAAAGTATTCATATTATATAGTTTATGAACAAAGGAGGCTGTTTGTACTCTTGGAGGGGTTTCTATGAAAATGCATTTATGGTGGCTGTATTTATTAAGTAATATGAAATTAGTTCCACCTGTTTTGGTAAGCTTACGAACGTTAAACATTTTGCTATCATATACAGATTTCTATAGCATGCTGAATTTTATAAATATGCATATTCATATCAAATGCAATCAAACTTACACAAAATAGATTCACAATGAAATCAAAAAATGAAAAATATATAATAAAATTAATTTATCAATTACTCAGGATCTGCCGAGAGCTAGAGCATACTGAAAAAAAAAGGTTTTTTTTTTTTTTTTCAATATCTGCTTTTCTTACTGCGCCGTTATTCCTAAAATCGTTATATTAATGATACAAAGGACGAAAGAAAATTCGGAACTTTAATTTATTGTATTTTTTAAAGTTATATAATATTTACAGAGTAACGTAAATGAAAATCAGACAAGAGAAAAAAAATGTTTCAATAATTTGGCTGCATCTCTTTTCCGGAACTTTTTAAAGATATTCAACTTTTCATTCTTTTAGCTTTCATTTTTGACATTTATGCAATAGTACTTTTGCGTCAATAAAAAGCATCTGAAGAATCTCCATTTCAAAAATTTTTTAAAAAATATTTCCTTGACATCAAAATAATGTTTGCTTATCTTTTCAATGGAACTAATATTAAGTTTTATAACAGTATCAAACTTGTCAGATATGAAATGCAGTCACAAGCATATTGGTAAGAATCGAGTCTCTTATGACGGACACTAGGACCAAACTGAATTTCAACCATGTGGAATCTGCAATGACGTTTTGGGACTGCAAGCGTATAGTTGATTTTTTTAGTCCAAATAATTCATAAATTTGGTGGACATTAAATGCATATAATCATTTTTGTGAATACTTGTACATATTGATCTGTTTTTAATTAGAAAATGTGGTTGGATTGATTGATTGATTATTATTGTTTTACGCCGAGTCGGCAATATTTCAGCCATATTTCGGCGAAAATGTGGTTGGAAGTAAATTTTTTTGTTTTCTTTTAGAAATTCTATTTTCGAGTACCCGGATAACAACAATAAATTGCAGAAAAAGTACCCCCCCCCCCAAAAAAAAAAAGAGAGAGAAATATCCGGAAATGCAAAATGAAATAAAATGTTTGAAAGGAAAATTTAAAAAAAAAAAGGCGAAAATGCTGAGCATAACACCGGGAATGAAATGCAGCGAGTAAGTTCCAAACAGTTCTCCTATTTACAACACACTTTCAAAGACGTTGAACCCGCTCTCTCTCTCTCTCTTCAGTCGATGAAGTTCCATCTCTTTCAATCACCTAAATGCATTAGTACTCCTTTCTAAGGAGTGACGCAGAGGTGGTAAATACAGCCCCTGGTTAACTGTATATCCACAGGGTGGCTGTCAAAAGTGTTAAACTGCCGTCTTGCCTGTGCATAGCATTACAGTACATAAAACTGGTAGAAGAATCAAACTACAAAGTCGTCCCATTCTGTACAGTTTTCTTTGCCTGGAGTTTTTCATGAACTTTAATGTATCCAATGTATACACACATGGACCTATTTATATATTCTAATACATGCCGTAGCGGTTGAAAAGTAAATAGGTATGTTATATACTAATATAAATGTACTCAAGGTCGAATCAAGTAATATTTTCAAAGGAGTCTATACCAATCC